TCTCTCTCTCTCTCTCTCTCTCTCTCTCTCTCTCTCTCTCACACACACACACACACACACACACACACACACACACACACACACACACACGGTTTAAGGTTTTGATCACTTGCTCAACAGCTGGCTGTGGTATCTATACAACTGAGTTCCTCTTCTGGGTGCATATATAAAACTGTCATAAAAGTCAGCACATGACACAAATATTTTTAATGCCTGAGCTAAATGCTGGTACACGTCTATAATCCTAGCACTTGGGAGAGACTGAATCAGGAGGATTACCTTGAGTTGGAGGCTAGCCTGGTTTGCATAGTAAATTCAGGGCTAGCCTGAACTACACTACAGAGAGACCTCTCAAAACAAACAAAAAACAAAACAAAACAAAACAAAACAAAACAAAACAAAACAAAACAAACAAAAAAAATGGGGTTGGGGATTTAGGTCAGTGGTAGAGCACTTGCCTAGCAAGCGCAAGGCCCTGGGTTCGATCCTCAGCTCCAGGGGGAAAAAAAGATAAACAAACAAACAACTGAATGAAACCTTAAATCTTTGTTTTTGTGTGACTCTTTACCATACAGATTCCTGAGCAGTTTGGCCCAATCCGGACAGTGGCTGAGGGGAAGGGCAATGTCATCTTGATAGGCACGACTAGAAACTTTGTCCTGCAAGGCACCTTGTCAGGGGACTTCACACCCATCACTCAGGTACTGTCAGCTTGGCAAATGCCAAACTCTTACACTCTGCCATTAGTACAGATGCATGTGCGTACTGGAAGAGGGCTGGCTCCCGAGTTCCCAGTGGGCTCACCTACTTCAGAGTTGTGTTTTGTGTCGTGATTAAGCTGGGGAGGAACGAACTGATGAGACAGTCATTCAGGCATGACGTAGGCTCCTTCGAGACCGCGGGATCTCACGGTCCCCGTGTCTCGGTTCTTTGTAGGGTCACACTGATGAGCTCTGGGGGCTGGCCATCCATGCCTCCAAACCTCAGTTCTTGACCTGTGGACATGACAAGCACGCCACTCTCTGGGATGCTGTCGGTCACCGGCCCGTCTGGGACAAAATCATAGAGGTAAGCGTGCATGCTGCCTTTCTGGTTTCCTTATAAAAACTCATCTGGGATGTATTTTTGCATGAAGTTAACAGTGATAAGAAGTTGTTTGAAAGCAACGTTTTATCTTTTAGTAATTACTTTGTTTTTAAGGATGCCTCCAGTGTCCTCACCCATATCATGTTGAAGTTTACGATTGAGCTTTCTCAACAGCAGGTTAGCATCTCCAAGCAGATGATCAGGGTTCCTGAGAGCACATTTAACTGACCCAGGCGCTGAGAAAGTCTTGTGAAGAACCTGTGTTCTGTGATGGCCTGTCTAACAGAGTTATAAGCCACACTGAGGACCTGGGTTCATGTATCATCTATGGAGTTTGAAGGCATAGATAAAGCATTCGTTTTGAACTTTACAGGGAAACATAGATTTCTTATCAGAGCCCCAAATCCCTTCCCCAGCATGGAGATCAGGCTGGCGTCCCTGAGCTATAGGCACACCAGGCTGTGAGTGTGTTGTATTGTCCTTTGTTCTTACAGCTGCCATGCAGGTTGAAAATTTTAGTTTTGCTCTGACTGTTCATCAGGAAAGTGGGGAACAGAGAGTCTGAGTTACTTGTCAAGGCCACTAAGTTAGTAAGTGGGGCCTGGGGGGGTGTAGCTCAGTGGTTAGGTGCATGAGCTGCTCTGCAGAGGACTGTGATCCATTTCCAACACCCACATGACAACTCACAGTCATCTGTGACTCCAGTTCCAGGGTGTCTAATGCCTTGATCTGGCCTCTGGGGTCATCAGGCATGTACATGGTGCACTTATATACACGCAGACAAAACATTTATATCCATAAAAAATAAGTGACTTAGTTGCCCAGCTCAGACTGACTCCCAGCCCCAGGCTGTGCTGTTCTATCCCACTGCAGTGAACCACAGGCAGCCTCCATTGGTTACTTGTATCCTGACAACTCACACGCCCCATATAAGGAAACAGCCCTCTCACAGTGCCCAGGATCATGCGTTTACTCCCTGCAAAGCTGCTGGTATTTCCAAGGGCCTGGGACTGGGACTGGGTCTGGCTCTCCTGTCTTCCACTTTCAGAGAAGACGGTCACAGGGTGCTGGACACTGCAGCCAGCTGAGGCCCAGGGTTGAGGGTCTGAAGGGTAGGCATCCCCACTGCATTGAGGGAGGGCAGCCCTGCTGCAGTTCCATGAGCCTAGCCACCAACCCAGAGCCCTGACACTCCACCTCCCTGCCGGTCACCAGGCAGCTAACTGCTCTAGCCTAACAGCACTTTGGAACCAGGACTGGCTGGCATCCACAGCCCTGCTGTGCCCTAGACCTCTTCCCACCATCCTTGATGGATAGGAGCCCTTAGCCCCTCCACACCTTAGCACCCCCATATGAAAATAGTTGTGTGGTTCAGGTGAGCTGTGTTTACAGAAACAGCTTGTCGGGTAGCGGGTCAAGGGGACCCAAGTTCAGCTTGCACGTCGGCACACCAGCCTTGGTGAGGACCACCTCCTTTGGAGTCAGCTAAAGATGTTGGGACTGGTATCGAGCCTCCGTCAGCTTTTGTGGTAGCATCTCTGTGCCTCCAGTGTCCACTCCTGCCCTGTGTTGTGTTCCCACATAGATGGAGCACACCATCTGACCAACTTTCCATTGAGCCCAGGGGTCAGCGAGAGGTCTGGACACACAAGCCCCGGAGAAGAGCATTTGTGTGTCTGCCTTTCGTGACTACTGTAGATAGGACAGGCTATAAGACAACAGAGAGATTCTTCGGCAAGGACAGACCTGTACTGCGATTGCAGTGTGACACGGATCCCAGGGGGACCGCGTTTCTTCTGGGGAGCACAGAGGCTTTTCAAACAGAGCCTGGGAGCCTGGGAGCCTGGGAAGAGTACTGCGCGGGTGGGTTTTGTGCTGTCTTGCTGTGCCTGGCCGTCTATTCACACTTCCTTTAAAATATTTTAGGATCCAGCTCAGTCTTCCGGTTTTCATCCTTCAGGGTCTGTGGTTGCAGTCGGAACACTGACTGGGAGGTAAGCCCAGCCCCCGCCCCCTACCCCCCGCCCCCCCCCACCCCCAGCACTGCCTGTGCTGTCAGAGCTATGGAGAGCAGCTGGATGTCTGAGCCTCCCCAGAGGCAGAGGCAGGTACATACCAACTTTGGCTGCATCTTCTCTGTCCCAGTGATTTACTGAGAATTAAATCAAAACCCGAAAGAGAAACTGAGGCCTTCCCATTTGAAACCCTGAGGAAAGCCATGTCTCCTTCCCAGCTCCAACCCCAATGCATCCCATCTGCCTCCAGCTCCAGAGGCCCCAGAGTAGTGATTCTTAACCTATGGGTCACAATTCCTAAACTCAATGGAAAATATGAATATTTACATTATGATTCTTTTTTTTTTTTTTAGAAACAGTTGTGTAGCTAATGATATGTTTCTTTCTTTCTTTTTTTTTTTAAGATTTTATTTATTTATTACATATACAGTGTTCTTCCTGCATGTATGCCTGCAGGCCAGAAGAGGGCACCAGATCTCATTACAGATGGTTGTGAGCCACCATGTGGTTGCTGGGAATTGAACTCAGGACCTCTGGAAAATCAGTCAGTACTCTTAACCTCTGAGCCATCTCTCCAGCCCTACATTATGATTCTTAACAGTAGCAATATTACAGCTATGAAGCAACAACGAAAATAATTTTATGGTTGGGGGGGGGGTCATCATGCCACGAGGAACTGTATTAAAGGGCCACAGCATTAGGAAGGTTGAGAATCACTGGGCAAGAAAGCATTCCAAAGCCCCGAGAAATGAAGCCTGCTTTCTCAGCTGGGGAAACTTTCAGCCCTGTAAGACAGCGCCCAGATGCTGGGCCTCACGTTCAGACTCGGCTGCCTCTCGCCAGCCTCCGCTGACACACTGGGCAGCAGATCTGCACTCGCTCCCCAGCTTCCCCATGGAGCAGCAGTGCGTCTGTGAGACAGTTATGTAAGCTCTGACTGTCTTTCCTGTCTGTGAGCTATGGTAATTCCACCAACACGGACGACTGAAAAAGCCATGCACGTGGGAACATCTGCTGAGCTGGCGAGTGGGTGACCATGGCGGCGGCTGGTATTACCATGGTTGGGCAGGGTTTGGCTGTGCTTCCTTTTTGTTCCAAGACCCCTGCCGGATGTCTAAGAGCGTAGTTGGTACAGAACCCCCTGTAGCCTAGCTCTTTCCTCTTATACACGCCTGGGATAAAATCTGATGGAGCAATGCGGCCCAGTGAGAGGTGAGCGACGCTAACTAATGATCAGATGGACCCGTTGTGACTGTAGACATTCTGTACCTGTGGTTTTGTCTCAAAGCATCTGGTTATGGTGGACTCACCTCCCCTGTGGTGGGATAAAATGATTCAGTTCCTCACAGAGATGGAATGGAGTGAATAATGTCCTCAGAACAGACACAACGTAAAACTTACAATTTTTTTTAAATTTTCCGTTCAATATTTTCAAGCTTGAGGTTGAAACGGGCAGTGAAGTCATGGAGAGCAAAACCCTGGGTGAGGAGGACTGAGTCTATTATAGCTCCAGCTATAATATTCTTAGACGCTCCCTCCCATCATCCCTTTCCCGAAAGCATACCACTTGATTCTGTTTCTGTACCTGTGGGGTTTATAAAGACAACTACTCACAAGTCATAGTAGCAGTGTCTTAAGAGTCTTCCTAAAAAATGTTTGCAGGGGAGGGGCTGGAGAGATGGCTCAACAGTTAAGGGCACATACTGTTCTTGCAGAGGACCCAGTGTGTTCCCCAGAACTACCAGGCTGCTCACAACCATCTCTAACTCCATCTCCAGGGGATCTGGCACCCTCTGCTGGCCTTCTCTGGTACTGCATGTGTGTATAAAAACCCACACAGACTCAAACACTGTACACGTGATTTATTATTATTATTTTTTTATCAAAAAAATGCTTGCATGATGACACTCATGTGCACATACAGGCACACATGGACTCTCTTTGAGACATCAGAGCTTTAATTCAGTAGACCCTTCCCTCTGAAGACTCTAGCAGCCTCACGGACATCACCATCTGCGGACAGGGGACATGTGACAGTGTTCAGAATGATACTGATGACACATGTGACCTAATTCTACCACTTTATCTACTCCACCTACATCTTTAATCCCAGGACCAAATACTCAGCTGAAAGCAACATATAGGTTCCAGGAAGTTCCCCCACCCCACCCCCACCCCCTGGGTGGGTAGTTAGATCCCAAGTGGTAGACAAGACGGCAGTACCTCTGCATCCATCATCCAGGTCTGAAACCACAGCAGCCAGAGCCACAGCTGGGTCCTGGGAGCTCCATCATTCTGACGCTTAACACACCCCGTTTCCTGCTCCCTGGCCTTAGGAGAAGCATCGATTAGTCCCAGCACAGTGCGGGGCATGGGGGGAGCAGTCAAACTGCCCTAGCCCCTCACCTCTCTACCCACACTCTGGGGTCCCCCTTCTCACCCTGGACCAGAGCTCTGGGGCAGCCACCTCATGTCCATGGCTCTTGGCTGCACCTCTGACCACAGGCTCTGATGTCAGGTTTTGCTCATGGCCAGGGCTTTCCTGCCTCCTGTGTGCAAACAAGACCCTGAGAAAGGCTTCAGTGCTGAGTTCTGAAGGCATGTGGTGGTTGTCAATGCGCCGTTCCTTACTGGGGGGAAAGCTGGTGGGCAGGGAATTTCCCTGAATGAGAGCCGAGCATCTTCATGATTAACAGGCTCATGCTGTTGGACAGCCTTGTGTTTCACAGACAGCTCAGTGCGTGTGTCTCACGTTTACCACAGGTGGTTTGTGTTTGACACGGAAACGAAGGACTTGGTCACCGTCCACACAGATGGGAACGAGCAGCTGTCCGTGATGCGTTATTCACCAGGTCAGATGCAACTTTCACATTCTCAGGAATGATGCCATTCTGTACAAGAAACAAGTTGACAGCCCTGCTCCGAGGGAGACTTAGCTTAAGCATGCACATAGCTGTGTTTGCAGGGTTTGCACCCCCCACCCCCGTCCCGCCACTGTGCAGCACTCGCTCTCTCTTTCTTTCTCATTTCTTGAGGTAAGATTTCTCTGCCTGTCCTGGAACTCACTCTGTAGCCCAGGCTGGCCTTGAAACCCCAGGGATTAAAGTCGTGCACCACCACACCTGTTAGAGAAAATCTCAAACAGAATTAGAGTATCAGGGTGAGGCCCCCACCCCATCACCAGGCTTTGAAGTTGCCTTCATGCCCCTCCAAGATGTGTGTCATTTGCCCATTATAAATGTTCACGGGGGCTGGGGACATGGCCCCTTCCGTAAAGTGTGGGCCCTGCAAGCGTGAGTTCGGATGATCTATTTCCCAGCCCTGTCTGGTAAATTTGTATTTATTCTTCTAGATATTCCTGTTGTTTTGGATGAAATTTTTCTGAATTTTATTTCCAGATGGTTGGTTACTAGTATATGGAAATAAAATAGAATTTTGCCTATGGCTCTTATATAAGTTCCCCTTCCTAAACTCTAATCAGTTTTAAAGAGCTGGGGTGGGCATCATGTGCATATATGTATATGTTACGTATGTGTGGTTTGTGTATATACATGTGTGGTTTGTATATATTCATGTGTGTGATTTGGTGTGCGTGGTTTATGTATGTATGTGTGGTGTGTGTGTTGGTATGTCATATATGTGTGTGTGTATGCATGTGTGTATGGTTTGTGTATAAGTGTAGGTAGTATGTGTGTGTGAATGTGTGTGGTATTTGTGGAATGTGTGTATGTGTGTAGTTTATGTACATGTGTGATTTATGTATGCATGTATATAATTCTCCAGGATTTTCCTCATACAACGTGATTTCATCTGTAAATAAAAAGTTTGCTTTCTCTTTGGATATAGATACCTTTACTTTTCCTGCACTGCACAGCTGGTTCCTCCAGGAAACTGTGGGCGGGGCTGGCTGGGGTGACTCTCTTGTTTCGCTTTCAGACTTTCATGTTAGGGGCAGAGATGCCATCATGAGAACATTCTCTTCCATCCTGATTGTTCTCAGCGTTAGAAGTGTTGAGATTTGTCAAATGCTTTTCTACATCTCTTAAGATGGAGAATGTGAAAAAAAAAAAAGTGAGCCAGGCGTGGTAGAGCACACCTTTAATCCCAGCAGAGGCAGAGGTAGGAGAATCTCTGTGAGTTCAAGGCCAGCCTGGTCTACAGAGTGAGTTCTGGGACAACCAGGGCTATATAGTGAGACCTTCCTTGTCTTGAAAGAAAAAAAAAGATGGAGAGCGTGTTTGTTCTTTTTAAATGTGGCATATTGATTCTTCAGCATTCAACCAACTACATTCCTGTGATAAGAAGTTTTATTGCAGTGTTTCACAGCATTTCTCTATTGTTAAATTTTAGTTATAGTATTCTGTGGAGGGTTTTGCATTCATGTTTGTGAGGGACATTGTTCTATAGTGATACTGTAATGTCTTAATTAGGAAAGTGTGATGAGGCATGCCTCTCCTGTTTTCTGAGCTTATGGAAGAGTTATAGTCCAGAGAGAGAGAGAGAGAGACAGACAGACAGACAGACACACACACACACACACACACACACACACACACGCACACACGCACGCACATGCACACACACACGCACATGCACACAGAGACAGAGAGACAGAAGATACATAGATATACACACAGAGAGACAGAGAAATAGATAATACATACACACACATA